GGTTTAGAGTTCTTGTATATGAATTTGGAAGTTTTGGTCTGTTGTTTCCAATAAATCAGAGTCTGATACCATAGTTCAGAGTTGTCTATTTCCGCTTTATTGGAGAGCAACATACCTATCGTCTGTATCAATAATAATTAAGAGTTTTCTTCCTGAAGAGTTCCTGAAGCTCTTCTCGCTAGTGGGAAAAATCAAGTAGGATCAGATGGATCAAGCCCACCTAAACTGCTTATTTGTGAACAATGGAGCAAAACGATCACTACAACACGTGATAACTCAGGAATCCATATGAAAAAGCTGCCACCTGTGAAGTCACCCGTCTCACGCACCCCTTTCCTGATCTGTGCCACACCCCTACGTACCCTTCCTGATTCCTGTGCTGTACCGCACGCTACTCTGACCCACACAGTACCTCTTGCACGTTTCTATGAGACTGCTACACCCCCTCGCCGACCCCTGCTATCCATTCATGCTGGGGATGATGCGTGTCATTGCATGACAGTGTGTAAGAAGGCCACACGGGTCAGAGGGATGAGTGGGGTGTCAGTGGGTGTGGAAGACTCACCAAGAGGGCCAGGAGACGGCGTGAGTGATGGTGGCACAGTGATTAGAATGCAGTCCTGCAGGCTAACTCTGCCGACTGCCAGCAGTTCGATCCTGACCAGCTCAAGATGGACTCAACCTTCCATCCTTCCGAGGTCGGTAAAATAATGATGCAGATTGTTGGGGGCAATATGCTGACTCTGAAAACCACTTAAAGCACTGCAGACTGGTGTATAAGTCTAAATGCTCTTGCTATGAGGGTGCAAGTGGGTGCACAAGAGACACCCAGTGAAGGCTGCAGGGTGGGCGCAAGAAGTGCAGCGCAGGTTGGGGAGGATGTAAGTGTGTGTGTAAGGGTATGAAGAAGGTGCAGCGAGTGTGTGAGTGGGGTGAGTTAAGTAAGGAAATATATATGAAATGATAACCCAACTGATCATGGGTTGCCTAATCTTTATAGATGTGAAAGTAGTTTTTGTTATATTTCTCTAGAAAAATAGCATGTGGCTTGACAGATGCTTCTGTGGGGCGGGGTGGATAAAATTTGGCTTCAGGAAGTGTCTCAATACCAATTACATGTGCTTATTTTGGATATTGAGATTGATATACCCAGTGTACTAAAAGTCAATTACAATGTGTTCTGTTATTTTTCTTTAAAGAACATGTTACTGTAATTTAAAACATTCAAACTATCAATTGAGTAAGGAATTGTTTAGAAATTACTGGCAACTAATTCAGACATTTAATGCAACGTATACAATTAAAAAGTCTGTGAGGCCTGACGTTCGGTACATCTTGTGTATTGGTTTTGTACTTTGTAGTAGAACTAGGAACCTGGCCAGAAGGGGGTCTCTTGGGAATCCTAAATAATCTATAACCACACCTACCATCTTTCTCAAGTAAGAGGCAGGGGATGGAATTCTCAAGGGGAACAAAATTAGCAATCTATTTCTGTGGAATCTTGACTAATGGTTTTAGGGAGAAGCAAGGACTTTAAAGAAACAGATCTCATCTGACTGAGCCTAGGAATTCAGGTATCCCCAGAAATTTGGAATAAGCAAATTATAGTTGCCAGAAAATGTCAGATTTTTTTTTCAGTGTGGTTTTTACTCAATTTGGATTAGCTATATATGCATTCCTGATCTATCTCTTGGTCTGTTCAGGCTGTTTACAAGTTAATGATGGCTACCTTTGCTATGTACTATATCAGCCTCACATAATTGTTGCATCTCAAGTATTTTGCTATCTTTATTAGGATAAAAGCATTTATTCTTTTTCACTCCAGGATAGCAATAGCAATAGCAGTTAGATATACTGCACATACCGCTTCATAGTGCTTTACTCTCTAAGTGGTTTAACAGAGCCAGCGTATTGCCCCCAACAATCTGCGTCCTCATTTTAACGATCTCAGAAGGATAGAAGGCTGAGTCAGCCTTGAGTCGGTCAGAACCGAACTCCTGGCAGTGAATTGATTTTAGCATGCAATACTGCATTCTAACCACTGCACCACCACGGCTCCTAATGGAATTTGGGTGGAGTTTGTCCTTAGCAGCCTTGAGTCTGAAACTACTTGGGCCTGGTTACCCTGGTTCAAAAGGCAAAACTAGAGCCAATTATTTAAAAGCTTATTTCTGGGGAAGGTTCAGAGGTCTGGGGTTCAAAAGAGGGCAGCAGAACAGATGGTGGCAGAATAGCTACCTACCCAAGTGGATTTTCCCTGTGGAACAGCCATGGATATTCCATGGCAGAAGGGCTGTGAGTGTGGAATTCCCAAAAGACGGCTTGTGTGGATGTTGATTACCACGATCTATCTTCCCTGCTACATATTTATTTCCTGTTCTTATATATTTTTAGATTTATGATAAATTTGGTGTGTATGGTTTTGTTTGTTTGTTTGTAGGTCTTTTGTAGGCCCAACTTTAGGTGGCTTCATAAATGAGAAACTGGGTTTTGAATGGTCTGCAGCCATCCAAGGAGGATTCACATTGTTAAGTGTATGTACACTAACATGATTTATTCATTATTTTATTACATTTGAATATGAAATGTCACAAATATACTAATAGTTGCTTTCTCTGAAGGGATTAGCATCTGCAATTTATTATACCTATGAAGCCATACAAAGGAAGAGGTACAGTAAAATTTTGTTCTTTTTCTTAAAATTTCATGAAAGGAGTAGAATACTTTGTTATTGATTCTCATTAAGACCACAAAAAAATTAATGCCAATTTTTGTTAGTTCTTCTATGTTTTTCATGAATTAATTGGCTGGGTTTTTCTTTTAACAGATATCAGCCGTTCAAATAGCATTGTGAACAACATGCCAAATGGCCCCTTTATTTCAATATTTGCTTTTTAATAACACATTAAATAAAACCAAACTAATCCCAGAAAAATAACTGCATTGTTTAAATATTCACCTTGAAGGTGTTTGCATATCATAATCCCCAACATATAGTTGCAAATTACTGTTGCATATTCACTGTTGGTCAGTGGTGGGATTCAAATGTTTTAACAACCAGTTCTGTGGGCATGGCTTAGTTAGTGGGCGTGGCTTGGTGGTCATGTGACTGGGTGGACATGGCTTGGTGCTCATGTTATTGTCTGTGTGTGGCCAACTCAATATCATTCACATCAAGGCATGCATCTCCTTGCCTGACCTCTCATAACTGTGGGGATGCTGCAACAGTCATAAGTGTAAAAAATAGTCATAAGTTACTTTTTTCAGTGCCATTGTAACTTTAAATGGTCACTCCACACAAGCAAAGTACCAGCAAAGGAGGGGAAAAAAACTCCAGAGAAGTTCCTGGGACAAAAAGTCTAGGCCTGCCAAGAATGTAATAAGGATTAACGGAGAGGCAGCTTCTGTAAGCAACACCAGAATGTTTCCTTGCTGCCTTCCTTACAGGATTAGGCCAGTAATTTCTTCTAACAACTGGTTCTCTGAACTGCTTTGAATGTTAACAAGCAGTTCTAGCGAATAGGTGCGAACTGGTAGAATCCCACCCCTGCTGTTGGTGCCTACAGGCAAAAATGTAGCTATTTAACTATTAAGTAATGGCTTGTTTTAGTTATATTTCTTAAATCTCTCATTCCAGAAAAGTTCGAATCCACATTTGGATTTAAATGGTCAAATATAGAGTACCTATTTTCATTTGATTTATGTAACTTTCATTTTTACTTGATTCTAGGCAATTTAACAATAAAATGTGCAAAATACATGAAATAAAAAAATAAAATGAAATAGCTAGCAGCCAGGCATTATCCAACCAACCATCCACAGAGCCAGGAGAAAGGCTGTATCCCATGCCCAGAGAGGTCTAGGACAACTCGGCACAGCCAACTCATCATGGCCAACTTGCCACAGCCAACTTACTGTGGAACGACTTGCCACAGGACAATATCAAAGAAATGGTGGAATAGAATCATTAAAGAAAGGATGCAAAAGGGAAGACAGAAAAAGTGATCGACAAAAATTAAAATATTTATTCTTATTATTTTGAATACTTGTAGCGTTGAATTGTCTGCAGCAAGTTGTCTAATGGTGAGTTGGCCTCGGCAAGTTGTCCTATGATGAGTTGGCTATGGTGAGTTAGCCAGAGAGAATTGGCAGTGATAAGTTGCCTGAGGCAAGTTGGCTATACCAAATATCCCATTCCATGCCCAGAGACCTAGGCATAAGATTTACAAAAAGCCAACAGGTATGGGGCCAATCTAATTTCAGGGGTGATGATATTCCAAAGGGTGGTTGTCATGGCAGAAAAGACTGTCCTTCTGGTCCCTGCTATCCAACACTGCTTATGTTATGGTGCCCAGAGCATGCCTCTTCTACCAAATCTAATAAGGTGGATAGATAGCATTGGAGAGAGACATAAGTGGCCCAGTCTCAAGCCATGAAAGGCTTTAAAGGTGACAGACAGCACCTTGAATTGCACCGAAATGTACATCAGAAGCCAATGCACCTCCCGAAGCAATGGTGTTAGATATGAGAAACTGACTGGCACCAGTAACTGCCCATGTCACCTCTCTCTGCACCAGTTGATGTTTCCAAATACTCTTCAAGGGAAGTCCCATATAAAGCGACTCGCAGTAGTCAATCTGGAGGTCACAAAGGCATGACTGACTGTGAATAGGGGCCCTCAGTTCACGAACAGGTGCAATTGATGCACAACCCAAATTTGTGCAAAGGCCTTCCTAGCCATAGTTGCCACCTGCTTTGGGAGCAAAGCTGCAAATCCAGGAGGACCTCCTGATTATGCACAGGGTCTGTTTGTGGTACCACCTCATGCAAAGCCAAATATCAAAGGGCCCTAATGAAGAGGTCCAAAACCCCAGAGCCACTCAGTCTGGTTTGTATTGTGCTGAAGCCTACTGTGCCCCATCAAGTCCCCATAACTTCCAAACACAGAGAGAATCTCTACAGCATCACTCAGGTGGCCCAAAAAGTATAAAGCTGAGCAGTATCATCAGCATGCTAATGATAACTCACCCAGTCTATTAGATGAGCTCACCCAGTGGCTTCAAATAGATACTAAAAGGAGTGGACTAAGCTCTGTGGCACCCCATGGAGTAGGGTCTGTGGGCTGGATCTCTTCTCTCCTATCAACACTGATTGAAACCAACCCCAGAGGAAGGAAGAGAACCAGTACAACAACATGTCTTCCACCCTCAACTCCTGGAACCAGTCCAGAAGGATACCGTTCATTGGTATTGAAAGCCACTGAGAAGTTAAGAACAGCAAAGATGGATGCATCACTCCTGCCAGAGGTCATCCAATGGACGTACCCGCCCCCATCTTGCTATCATCAGAGGTCATCTAGCTATGTGATCAATGCTATTTCATTAACTATCCAGGCCTGAATCCTGATTGAAAGGGACTGAAGAATCCACTTCTTCCAGAGTCCTCTGAAGTTGCCACATAACCACCTTCTCTACAGCAGTGCTCCTTTCTGGGATTCCCATGTGAATCAGACCAAAAAAAAAAAAATTGTAGGTACCTGTGAGTGGGCTCTGTAAAGCAATGTCATTGTTTTTGCAGCCAGTTCCCACAGTATAATACATTTTTTTATTGGTTTATGCAAAATAAATATGCGTAAATATGCATATAATTATGAGAAAAGTGTGCATTTATTGCCTCTTTGTTTTTGTAGTGTCCAATATGCTGAGAACATTTTTTTTCTTTTCATTTTGCATAGGTCCCTTCCTGGAATTCATCTTGGTTCAAAGCAAGAGAGGACTCTTTTACTGAATGAAGCTTAATGAGATGTTTTTTCTCATTGCCAGTTTAAATCTAACTTCATTTGCAATTTAAGAACATAATGTGCAGCAGACCAAGCAAATGTCATGAAATGTAGTTTTTCCCAAAAAAATAACCCTTCACAATCTTTGGATTATAAAAGCATTAGTCTCTAATTAAATAATAACGTGCCATTTTATTATTAGAAATGCCACTCCAAATTTAGCCTTTTACCCCCAGTTCTATGGTGGTCTTCTGAAAAAGTTGCACTGAAAAAGACTGTCAAAGAGATTTACAAGATAAAAGTGTTTTGTACAAAAGGTGATTTTTCTTTAATACAGAGACACGCACAAAGAATGCAAACTAATAAAGTATTATTTCAAATAATCCCACATTGGTTTGGTCAGTTTACTGAACCTTGATATGGAACCGCATTCTGTACATGCTTTTGTATCTTTTCCTTTTTTAGACACTTTCTGAAAGTCAATATGAAGCCAGAAGAAACAGAACACATATATACCAAAGCTCATAAAGTTGAAGAACTCAATGTACATTTAAAGCTTAGACTTCCAAGAGTGCAGCAAAAATGTTTGACATGAAGCGCATATTTAAATCACAGGCTTTGGCTTGCAAAATCCTGCAACTTCTGTGTGTCAGGGACATGGAGCACATTTTGCTCATTTGAAGAGGGGTGTTGTAAATGGTCTTGCAAGTCAGAGGCATGTGCAGTACTGTGGATGCTTAAAGCCCCTTCCTCCATCACAATGTCCCCTTCACAGTCATTAATTAGGGGGGAGTTATAGTGTGAAACACAATGAACTAATCTACTCCAATATCCATTAACTGAAGGATGTTTGAGAAGACAAAAGCAGTAAAGGCAAGCTTTGTTTTAAAGTGAAATGCTTGTGATTGAGTGTGTGTGTGTGTGTGTGTTATCTATTAGATATCCTGTTGGTATTCTTAGTGCTCATCCTGCGCCACTTAACTGGAAAATTAATTTCATCAAGTGAGCAAACAAGTTTCAGTTCAGCGTGGGGAAAGAAATGTGATATTCATTTTAAAGAGTGCTAATAACTTAAAAAAGAGGGTGCCATGGCTTAGCGGTTAAAAGCACTGAGCTGGTCACAGGAAAAGCTGACAGCCCAAGTTTGGCACCGGAGTGCCGGGCAATGGGGTGAACTTCTGTTACTTACCCCAGCTCCTGCAAACCTAGCAGTTCAAAAGCATGCAAATGCAAGTAAATAAATAGGTACCACCTTGGTGGGAAGGTAACAGCATTTTGTGTGCCTTGGTGTATAGTCATCTGGCCAGATGATCATGGAAGGAAAATATTTTTTTTGGCAATGGAAATAATTAGAAGAAGCAGCGGTGGGTAATATTTATTGCATTGCATTGTGGTTTGCCGGCAGCAAGTGCAGATGGCTGAGGTCTCTGACAGCAAAGACATGGATGAGGGGCCTGCGTGTGGTGCAGGGATGGGACCAGGACTTTCAGAGAGTGGGGTGCTGCCTTCGGAGCTTTCAGAGTCTGGCAGCAGTGATGCAGGGGACCCCAATGAGCCTGTGCCCAGTGCACATGCATAAAGGGCTGCTTGAAGGAAAGAGCAGCTGCAGCAGCACGGGTGACTCAGGAGTAAGGCTGCAAGGTGATGGTTGTTAGGTATAACATAGGTCACCTAACGTAGTTTGGGTAAAATAATATATATAAGCTATGATTGTTAGTTTAAGTGTGTGTTACTTTAAATGCAAAGCATTTAATTTTGGGTGTAGTGTGAAACCACCATAAGAGGGAGCATGACAACCTGATTGTTTGCTGACGATTCCCTGACGCTTTGCTGGCAATTACTGAAAATTACTGAATTGGATTACGTTGATGGTTTGTTAGAAGAGTTGCTAAAGGAAGAGAGGAGTTTTGAGTTCTTAATATCTCTCTACTGCGAGGAGATATATCACTGGACTGACATTTGTAAGTGTACTGACCTCTCTTTTTCGACACTGGAATTTGCAACTGAATAATCCCTGGACGGACTGAACTAAGTGAATGATATATGGACTGTTTGACTATGCTTTACCTCTTGCTGGAATAAAACTATTTTAATTGGCACTGTGTATCTGGTTTACTGAGTGTAAGCTACATATAACGTTTATCTCACATATTCTGCCTGCCTGCCTGACTGCCCTGCAGATCTTGCTAGGGTGTATCCCTAACAATGGTCCTTCCCATAAGGGATAAAAGCCAGCCCTCAGGGGTTGGGTTCTTTGCAGGAAGCAAAGAAGTTCTTTCAACTCCAAGTTCTTGTGGAAGACCTGTCTATTCTGATTTGTTTTCAGAGACTTTTGGTTTTGAATATTCCCCTGCAATTAATCTTGTGTTCTTGGCAGCCTTTCACAACCTTGAAAGGGCTTGCTGTTATCTGGGACAATTAGTTTTAATGACTCTTTGCTGTGAATGAACAGAATTCACAGAGACACATTAAAAAGGTTTGCTTTTATATCTACTTTGTGTTTATTTGATTTGAACAAGGCTTGGGTCAGAACACGTTGAGTTACCCGCATGGATTGTCCCATGGCAAGTTGTCTCGTGGTGAGTTGGCCACAGTGAGTTGTCCCGTGGCGAGATAGCCTCTGCATTATAAAATGCAGCAAATTATATATAAGAATATTATATATAAATATATATATA